AAATCCTCTTGACAGACAGCTTAATAACAACATTGAGACTTAGAGGTACTTAAATATTAAATAAGAAAGAATCTGCTTGGAACCTTTCTCAGGTTCCTTTACTTCTAAACTCTTTGGTTTTTAGAGAAACACATTTCTCTGCAGTCCCTCACTATTCTGACTGCTCCTTCTGCTTCTTTTTGTTGGTTTGATTTTCTTCTGATTCCCTAAGTAGAAGTATCCTTGGCTCTTAGTTCTTCTCCCAAGATACTTAGCTCCCTGCAGGAGATACCAAATTAGATGGTTTTAATATCCCTTTGGCTGTCTCCTCTAAAACTTTCAACTCCAATTTTCACTCTGGTTTTATTTTCCAGTAATATCATTTGATTTCTTCTGGTCACTTCACTTGGAAACAAAATTTTTTCTCATGATTCTAAATTTGTTTACAGGTTTTCAAAACTCTCTGCACCTCAGCCTTCTAGTACTGATCTTCTCTGGTCTTTGTGTTTCAAATTATAGCCTACTGCCAGGCTAATCCCTCCTTAAGTCTAATTTAAACATGGCACTTTCCTGATGTAAAACTATTTACAGTATTACAGAACAACCTATCAATACTTTAGTGTAGCATTCAAAATTCCTGTTAAGCAAATTCCAACTTGCCTTTTAATTGTATTACTTCACTTTCCAACATGAACCATTTGTCCCCAAGTAGGCCCATTGCCTCACTACCATGAAGATACCCCATTTAATCTTAGTTTATCTAATTCCCCTTTTTTAGACTGACCTCCTCATTAGCTTAATCACATTTTGTATGTCTTCTGAGGTCTAAGTAAAATTATAACTTCTGTGCAAAATTTTTCTTAACTATTTCAGATTACACTGATGTCTATGCTTTCCTTAGCTTCTACTATTTTTTAGTTGGTTTCATACAACTAAACACTCAGTGTTGTAGTGATTTCATATGTCTATTTTCTTTGACTAGGTTATGCTAGGACTCAGTCCACACCTTACATTTCCTTAGTGACTTTCACAGTGCCTCCTAACAATGGTGGCAGGCAATAAGTATTGTGTAATGGGTTTTGTGTAAATATCACTGTATTACTAATAGTTGTAATTAAACACCACAGTTTGTCTTATATCATTTTCTGAGGAAACCAAATTGATTTCCTCGTAATTTGATAAGAAATATCAGGTTCTACAAATAAAAATGTAGTATTCAAAAAGTTCTACTAAGCCACAATTTTTCTGTGATAGAGTTGGAATATAATTTGTATTTTTTAGATAGCCTGTCACTATAAAACTAATTACGTAATACTCTCCAAACATGAGTATGACTTAAAGCACAATACTGGATAAACAATCTAAAAATTCTACCAAAGTGCTCAACGTTAGTAGTTTTTTAACACTAAAACTATTTTTCCTTGAGAAAAGTTTATAAAACAGTTTGAGAAATTCAAAGCAGGAAATTATTAAATGCTTTCCATTCATTAAAGGATTTTAGGAGACAATAAAACAGTGAGCAATATATTTAATAAGCGGTAAAACTCAACTCTAAATTGTATCTCAGCTCTTTTAATGCATCTCGAACAAGGAACATGTATAGCATGAAAAACTGACCTCAAAAGACAATTTTTACACCAAATTTACATGTAAGTAAGTTAAGATTTGTAAACTGTCCTGAATTTACAAGTAAAGAGAATACTTTTTAAATGGTACAATTTTCTATTAGTGTACAACTTATAGGTCACTGGTTTGGAAACATTAAGTTTTGTAATCAGGACAATCTTTATATCTCATTATCTGACACAGGGAAAGGTCTGAGCTCAGGCTATATCCTATACCCACTTCACTGATATCTAAACAACTAGGCATTTAAAGATTTCTTAAAGACAAAACGCAACCAAAATAAATAGCCTAAATCCTAAATTTCTCATTTCTTCATGGTAAATATTTATAATAACAAAGGAGTGGCTTATTTCAAAGACTAGAAGTTCAAATGTGTTCCTACAAATGCTCAGGAATTTTTTTCACTTCTTTTCCAAGAGTTATAAAACATTATGTTGTAGTCAACTGCTGCCATGTTAGAACTAAACAGAGGAAATCACTGCCTATGGAAATCACTAATAGAATTTGAGCTATGTTATCTGTGGAATTACTATTTTGAAAGGGTGCACAAATGAAGTCCCTCAGAGATTCTAATGAGAAGGCTTATATATTTTACAAGTAAGTACACTTAATAAAATTTAATAAAAATTTAAATAAAATGGCTAAGTGATCCTTTTCTTAAGCTAAAAATCTAGGTTGAGTATCAAATTTTTAACTTATTCCAGTATTAGAGCTCTTTAGGAATAGAATGCACACAGTTCTAGAAGACTTAGCTAACAGTCCTGTCCAGAAACTAAAGAAATAAAAGGATATTGCTAGAGGTCTCTCAAAGGGCCTAAAAGTCTAAGAACTGACTGCACTCAAGAGCAGAAGTAATTTTGTTATAATATATTACATCAGGAATATTCTGGGAATAAAAGAGTCTTTTTTAGGAATACCTTATCCATCACAGAAATAAAGCACAAGCTGGATACTGAGGCTCAGGCTAATTATTCCAGCACTCCAGGAAGCTGAGGGAGGAGGATTGAAAGTTAAAAGAGCCCAGCCTCAGCATACTAGTGACTTAGCAAGACTCTTCCACAAAATAAAAAAATAAAAAATGGCTGGGGATGCAGCTCAGTGTGAAGGCCCTGGGTTCAATCTCCAGTACAAAGAAAGAAGGAAAGAAGGAATGGAGGGAGGCAGGGAGGGAGGGAGAGAGGGAAGAAGGAAGGAAGGAAGGGGGGAAGGAAAGAAAGAAGGAAGGGGGAGAAAGGGAAGGGAAGGGAAGTAGGTTTAATAGCCTAAATAATCATTACTGTCAGATTGCTGTAAATTATAAAAGTTACTTTGTATATGCTCTATCGTGAAAATTCCATTTCTTAGTTGTATTAATTCAATACTTAGGGGCTTCTTCTCTAACATTTCTCCACCCAAATAAACACGCAAACTTGGTATTAGGTTAAAAGGCAATGAAGTATATCTTAGAAAAGGCTGTCTATTGGGGTGCTCTACTGCATACTTTAAGATACCTGACATGTTCCAACTTACCCTGTGTGATGGTAAGGGTGGAGGCCATGAGACACGCCTCTTTCTATAGCTGGTAGGCTTGCCCTCCAGTCAAATCATTTTGAGCCTACTTTTAAGGTGAGTAATGGAATTAAGAACTACAAGTTTGAGTTGCACTAAATTTGAAACTTAGTTTGCACTAAGTTTGCAATTTTGATTCAGGCTTTAAAGTCTAATTAGAACTCTTTTATGCAAACAATTTATCATTTTAAAGTTAGCACATCCTTTTGAATAGTATCCTAAGGTGAACTTAAAAAGTGTCATTGTTCTAAAAAAAATTCATTTAGCCTTGTAAACAGTCTGGAAAATGAAAACTTACGCCAGTTGAGGAGGTAACTAAACAGCTACCTACATGAAAAATGGTGAACTGGTTTAGACCAAAAAAAGGAAAAGCTGTAACTCATTAAGACAATAAAACTACATTCAAAAGGTAGATTAAGATACATTTATAAATTTGTTTTGTAGATTTATGGATAGAATCATGACCTAAATTTAAAACAAAAAATGTTTACACATAAAGCACATTATAAACAAAAACTTAAACTGAAACAGAGTATTTGATTCCACAAATAAATTATAATTATTAGTAGCAATAATGTAAAGTCAATTTATGCATGATTAATTCTTTTCATCACAAACAAGTAGCTTTTTTCTAGGCAAATGGTATTTTTTAAGACTATCAGCAAAGTTAAGGTACCTGTCCATTATTTCATGACCAATGAATGCTAATTATTATGTACTGATTATGTTCTATATCTAGGCCCATTGAATATTTAGATCATCTTTTGCGGGCTATAATATGACTGTCAATAGAATATTCTGCAATGAAAATATATTTATCTTCATTGTCTAATACAACAATGTGTTTACTGATTACTCTAAATATGGGTAGTGTAATCAAGGAACTGAATTTCAAGTTTATTTCTTCAGCCACATACAACTAGAGGCTACCATATTAAAGAGTATAGCTTAGTAGGCCCAAACCCTTACACAAAATGTCTTGTTATATTAGGTCTCTAATTTGTTTGTTGATTTCCATGAGCATGGTATTCACAAATGCTTATGAAGAGTGGTATACTGAAAAACATTTTACATTGTAACATCATCTTCACTCAAAAATATGATTAAACCTATGGCAGCAGACACTTAATACAACATTCAGAAAAATCCAAACAGAAAATGCTATGTGAAAAACTTTTTATTAGTGTTTATAGTATGTCAGCACAAGCACACTGATTAATGAGGTACCCTTGTGGCCTATGTCAATCTGTCTGATGTTAGTTGTAGTATGACTAGAATTCAAACTATGAAATATCCACTCCTAAAAAGTTTTTGTTCACCACCTATCATAACACAAAAATACCAATTACTACATAGTTTTCAGCTTCACTGTTGAAATGCTACAAAACTTGTCAAACCATTTTACCTGACAGACATATTTGTTCTTCCATTTGCTCAGCACACACTGACTGTTTTGCATCAGCTCCTAAAGAACAACAGAAAAAGAGAGAGTGCAGTTGGCTATACACATTGTGATTATCAGTTAAAGTGCTTCTGATTCAACAGGAAAAAAAATCAACATGCTATACAAAGATGCAACTGTTTTGGAACTTTGCACTGGACAAAAGCAAAGCTATCATCGCCATGAGAGTTGATCCTTTATGAAAATTAAAGTTGTTGAAAGATGTTTTAAAACAGATTTGTTTGTTACCATTTTTGAAACTTTTTGAAAGATACCTCCAACTCTCTGAGTGAGTCTCGAAGTTTTTCTGGGCGTCTATTTTTGAGCGTCCAAGGATAATCTCGTGCTGGCAAATAAAACATGTACTACAGTTAGTTAAACATGATTTAAAAAAGGAAACTGCATAGCAGCGTGCCTTAGGAAGATTAAAATAAAACACCTTCATAATTGAGAGGAAGTGGGCTTCATTTCTATCATCAAATGACAGCCTCTTAAAAGGCTTTGTCATAGTAACAGGATTTTTACCACAAAACAATCTCCCTGATGATAATTTTATGATGATAACCAACAAGCTTAGAGAACCTCTGGAAAACTGCTAGGACTGTGAACCTAGAAGTAGTTAAAATAGTAACTGACCTACTCTTTACCACTGAAAACCTTTTCATGTAAATAACAGAATGCTCAACCCCCAAAAAATTTCTGCATGTGGCCTTACTCAGACCTGGAAATTCTCATGAGTAAAGAAATACAGTTAGGAAAAAAAAAATAATGTGTGTGTGTGTGTGTGTGTGTGTGTGTGAAATGTGATTAAAGTATCATAAATAAAAACTGGAAAAAGTCAGGGGAATCTAAATTTTAACAGATTTGGCACTAACAGTGTAATATCCTCTTTAAAATCTATACCATGATTTTTTATTTGTAATGAAATACCCATATTTTTTATTTAACTGAAAGATGAAAGTATTTAGTAGAGTCGTTATGTTTCCCTTAAAAGAAAGTATAACTAGTTCTGCTTTTAAAAAATTAATAAAATTGGTTAGAGGTTTAGCTCAGTGGTAGAGCAATGTGCTTAGTATGTGCTAGAGCTCATTTTGATACCCAGCACCAAAACAGAGAGAGAGAGAGAGAGGAAGAGAGAGAGAGGGAATGTTAAACTCAATATATCTATTTTATGAGAAAAATAAATTCATCTTTGCATTCTAAGTAAAGTTGTGTATATAGGTATATGTATATGTGTGTGTTATGTGTTTATCTACATATAATATGTATAGTAATACAGATATTTAAACTGGATGATAGATTTGCTATATTTCATTATTTCAGCAAATTAATTTGGCCCTATAAACATAATTTTGATGTGCAGAACATATGTATAAAGTCTGTGTCATAGCTACTAATATAGTATTTTAAAAGTTAAATGTCAGTCCATCCATTTAAAACAAGAGAACAGTGGGATTTTTAGCTCTATCTATATCCCAAATAGAACCTTAAATTACATTTAAGTCATTAAAACCACATAACAGTCAAGCCATATTAAATATATATAAATATATTTATTTATATATTTGAGACCAGCAAAGGTTAAATAAAATGCAAATACTGATAATTATAAATCTTATTTTCTTAAAATGGACAAAACATGTTAATAATTCAGGCCCAGTATGAATAATTAAATGTTAACATTAGAATTTAAGCATGATACATATATTTCAAATATATTAAATAACATAAACATGGCTCCTTAAGAAAAGTTTATGTTTGCATAAGCTTATATCTTACCAAAATAGGGCACAGAGACCCCAATGATCTAAATTAGAAAGGCCCATCAAAAATAATTCCTATTCATAATTTTCTATACCTAAACAATAGGAATTTGTAATTATAAGAAATTCAGACAGAGTAACACTTCCAATTTGTACAAAAATCACAATATTTTGTAATGTTGACTTTCTAGTTTCATAATTCCAAAAAATTATAAAGTAAGCTTACATTCTGCCAACTTCTGCTTTTCCTCTAAGTTACCATGCTCTGTCGCTGACATTGTGTCAGAGAGAGATGAAAAAATAAAAGAAATGGAATTCACTTTTATTATAGCATCTTGTATTTTTAATATGTACACATATGGATTATTACACATACTATTGAGATTAATAAATTATGCTAAGCTTTACAAAGGACAGTTGAGAAAAATGTCACAATGTGGATATTTTCATATCAGAAAGCTATTCCCTAAATTTGCAATAAAAAAGCTTACGAGGAAAATAGGTGAGCCAATATCCTGAGTTTCCGATCTCATCAGATAGAGAAAGGAACTGCAACCGAGCCCTGCAGAGAAGCTGCTGCGGTCTGTCATCACAACCATGAAGTCAACCTATTAAGCCCCAAACCAAGCACACAGGATGCTCAAACAAGCCCCACTTCAACAGAGACCAGAATAGGAAGTAACTCTAGCTAGGGAGACCTTTTGGCCTATCATAAAACTTCTGGGATTAACAGGATTAATCAGATAACAAAAATTGATCATTCACTCAGAAATGCCTATTTCAGATAATCAGGTGAGGATCCAGGAGGCCAGGATCAGTGGGACCCACGCACTAACAATGCCCTCTACTGGGACACCAATAAATAAACCTGAATAGGTTGTGCTGTTATCAAGCTGATCAGCAATAAAATAAAAGTAAAAATTTTCATGTTCTTCTACAACATTTTATCAATATTACTTTATTTTATATAAATCAGATATCAACCTCACTGTTTTTCTAAAGAACTGAAGAGACTTTTCTTTAAATTCTAGAATTTATCTAAAGCTCATAAGAGTTTCTAATAATATTTTGTCACTTAGCATAATTTACAGAAATTAGCTACATAGAAAAGGTACTTTACCTGGTGGATCTTTCTTGCCATAATACTGGTAGATTCCGATGTCTCTATCTATAGAAAGGGAAAAATAACATTAAATTATGGTAAAAAGTTCTGGAGAATAAGAAGCCAAACCATACTATATTGGAGGCAAGGATGGGGAGGGGAGCAGAAACAGTCTCCTTATGTTACTAGAAATAAAATAGCTCAAAAGCATCTGGACATGGGTTCATCTATTCTAGGGATATGCAGAAACTGGAAAGTTTATCAATCTAATGAGAAAAAATTTACACAAAACTAGAATGGCATGAGGAAAAGATTAGTAAAGAACTGAAATCAAGGAAGACCAAGTTTTCTCTTTCACACTTCCTCTGATATTTTTCACAGGGCGCTACCAAAAGGAACTGCCACTAAGCAATGCCAAATGAAATCAGTGGATGGAAGAAAATGCCCTAGCTGTTGGATTCGGAGCTGTGGCTTGCATTTCTCCAATTTAGCTCAAGAGTCTAGTTTCCGTCATACAGCATTTGGGGGAAAATCTGCAGGAAAGAAAGAGAGGATTATGGAGAAGTACAGATAAATTATTATCTGAAACTTGTTTAGATTCAAAAGGCTTCCAAACTCATTCAAATTCAGATACTCTGCTGGGACTAGCTAAGAAGAAAAGCTAGGCTTCCAGATGTTGACAGTGATTTAACCTAGGAATCTGTTCTTGCCATTTAAATACAGGAGTAGAGAATAATTTTGTCCATTTTCACCATGTCTATGAACAATGAGATACTTCTTTGATTGAAGTAACATTTGTTTCCTTCCATGCAAAATAATTTTCAGTTACTACCATAAGGCGGATACAACTGTCTCTAAAGGAAGGAAGCAGTACAGACTGCCCCCTAGTGAATGACTGCTCTAAACTTCTTCAAACTGATAAAACTACAGACACACACACACACACACACACACACACACAAATGCCACTATAATTAACTCTTCACATATAGTTTTCCAACAGTCAATCTTATATACTTACTGAAGCTCTATTTTATTCATCATGCCATTATTAAAACATACAATTTTAAAGAATAGAGTTTTGTATCTAATAGTTACATTGAAAATATCTACTAAGGTTGGATTGGGGGATGTCATGAATAGGGCTTCTTGAGTACCAGTATTTTATTTCTTGACCTGGGTGGTGATTTTATAGGTGTACCTTCATTTTGAGCGTACTGTAATGACCTGTACACTTTTCAGAACACATACTTCAATAAAATTTTTGTTGTTTAGGCTAAGAACCACAGGCACTATGCATGCAGGCAAAAATCCTCTACTAAAATGATTCCAAGCTAGAATTATAACATCATTCCATATATCTAAATATTTTCTACAACTCCAGAAAAAACTATGAAGATCAAAAGTCTCAAAAAGTATAAATCCTAGACATATGAGAATAAGAAATGAGAAATGAAGTATGCAACTATGATAAGAGAACAAATGCTTCAATTAAAATTCCCACTAGTAGTAATATAAACTTTCTTTTGGGTAGTTTTGGATTTTTGCTTTTTTCTTTCTTTCTTTCTTTCTTTCTTTCTTTCTTTCTTTCTTTCTTTCTTTCTTTCTTTCTTTTTTGGTAGTACTGGGGACTGAACCAAGGCATACGAGCCACATCCTCACTCCATTTTTAATTTTATTTTTGAGATAGAGTCTCCCTAAGTTGACCAGGCTGGCCCAAATTTGCAATCCTCCTGCCTCAGCCTCCTAAGTAGATTATAGGCATGTGCCACAGCACCCAGCTGCTTTTGAGGTTTAAAATTTTTTCTATTTATATTTCTAAATTTTTTATTTTCATTTCATTTTATTGCTGTGCTGGGAATTGAATCCAGAGCTAGGCAAGTACTTTATCATTGACCTACATCCCCAGTCCATCTTTTATATAGTTTTAACTTATAAGAGATGAGTATAATTTAAATGCTTTCTGAAGTTTGTGTTTTGCTTCTTGATTTATGGATTCAATATCTTTCCTCAAGTCTCTGTTGTATATTCTTTTTCCTTCCTATATTTGTTTCTTCAGAAATCCTTTGTTTCATTTATATGTTTTGTTTTCTTCCCTATTAAAGACATTCCTCAAATATCTGGTGATCCTTAGCTCTCTCTTCATATTTACAGGTGAGACTACAAAGGCTGACTGGAATCTCTGAGTACATGAATAGGGTTTGTCAATGGGAAGGCTTCATTGAACATCCAGGGACCAGAGTACTGTATTTCACTGAAGAATGACCTCAAATGTCAGTGTAGATAGGTCTCTGAGGGACTGTGCAGTCACTTCAAAGACAAATTCCTCAAGTTCTTTCTTGAAAATTGTACAACTGGGTGTGACATTCTCAGAACCAAGTGGGATTAAGAAGACATTACGAAACAGCATGTGAGCTTCCATTTTACCCCTGTTTTCAGGTAGGTAAGTCTTCTTCCACTGGCCCTGGTGTCTCTGAGTTCAGAGAATCCCTATTAAATACTTCCACAGCATAAGAGGTGCCTCACTATTTCCTATATGGACCTTCAAGTCCCTTTGTAGTCACTCTTATGCCACACACCCATCTTCTGCAACATCTGGCTCCCTGAATTTCTTTACCTTTCCAGAGTTTTAAGACGTAACTTGGTTGTCAACGGAATCCTCCTTTGTAGGCAAGTGATATTCAGATCTTTCAGTTCTGCTAATTCCTTCATTCCCTCCATCTTCCAAAAATTGTCCAAATGCAGTTGTTCCCTTTCCTATCCCCTTACTCCTTGTAGGTTTATGCCTCCTTTATTTAATTCATCTTACTCTTATTTTAGATGAGTTTGGGGAGTAAGCAAATGTGCTAAACTCTTGTTTAACTGGGAGTTTTATTCTTATACACTTTAAGATAAACAGTGAAAATATAACATTCATCTGTAGTTATATACTCAATATAAAGAAACAATACTTTGTAAGGTAAACCATTTTTGTAATCATGATTTAAAAGGCACATGAATAAAAATGTCCTTCTAAATACAAAAGTTGTTTGGGATAATAAAAGAAGAAGATATTTAAAAAGATGTTTTCTAATGAGATATTTATATCATATATTAACAAACATTGATAAAACATATCACTCCCCCCAAGAAATGCAAAATGCAGAGAACATAAAAATAATTGTATTATCATAGCTATATATTTGAAATACTTAATATTAAATATAAATGTCTACCATTAGCTAGACTGTAAATATTTGATTATTAATCAGTTATTATGAACAATCCCAAGGGAAAAAATCAACATATGAGTATAGGAAGAAACAAATATTAAACCAATAAAATTAATTTTCAAAGCTGAAAAATTAAGTCAAGTTAAAAAATAAGTTGGTAAGAGTAATTAAAAGGAAGCATTTACATTAACTGATTTTTTATTAAGGATAAAGAATGCAACTCCAGCTGGAGAATCCAGGCTCTAACCTTTGCTAGTACTTATTTACAATGGTGAAACATATTTTTTAAATATTATAATTGATCCAGAGTTTATTTACCCCCAATGTGTAAGGTATTCTTCAAAGACCACAGGTGCAGTTCAGTCAAGCAGAAAGACATCTGATGGCAAAAGGAATTTCTGTCCTGTTTAAAAAATGATTAAAAAGGCCAATTAATTTATCTTCTATTGCCTATAAAATCAGGATCCCCTATAAATAGTAAAAAGAATCAATTGACACTATTGATATTTGAGATATGGTCCTTCAAAATAAAGACAATTTAATATATTTGGTTTTAATCATCCAGAAATAAACTCTAGAAAAAGAAAAATATACTTCTTTTTCCTGGATTTAGAATGTCTTCACAGGGGCTGGGGATATAGCTCAGTGGCATAAGCACCTGCCTGGCAAGCACAAGGTTGTGAGTTTG